TCAATAAAACACAGGCTATTTCCTTCCCTAGGAGAATAACTGAGTTGCATTAGGAGTAATGATGGGTAACATGCAGGGCTAAGGAAAGGCTCTGCTTTGCTTTATAAGACACAATACTCAACTCAGACTCTGGCCCTTCTATAGGTTCTCCGGTCTTTCTGGTAACTCTTATTTAGTGTTCGAAAAGAGGAAAATGAGAGATTTATTATAAAATGCAAGGAAATACAGTCCTGCTTCTCAGTAAGGCTTGCATCAGACTCATCCATGGCAAAATCGTTACAGAAATCAATTTTACTCATTCCTTAACATGCTCTGTGAGTGAGTGCTAAGTCACTTCAGTCGTGCCTGACTCTTTGAGACCCCACCAGGCTCCTCTGTCCACGGGATTCTCCAGTCAAGAATACTGAAGTGTGCTGCCATGGCCTCCTCCAGGGATCTCCCTGACCCAGGCATCGAAACCATGCCTCTGATGTCTCCTGCATTGGCAGATGGGTTCTTCACCACTAGCACCACCTAGGAAGCCCAGCATCCTCTGCACCCCCCTAAAAAGCATAAATACATACAAAGAATTTTAAGTAAATGTTAACAGTACAGTATCAAATAGCTTTTGGATAGGTCATAGGAGAAGTAGTTACTAGAGGAAGAAGCCTGTTTTCCATTCATGATCCCCCTACCATTAACACACAATTAAACTTCAGAGTGCCACATGCCACCCTTTACTCCTTACTCTGCTAATGTTATTTATCTGTCTCAAAGACAAGCAACACTAATAAAACATGTACGCTAAAAAAGCTGCATTGACTTTGCTGAAAATACTGGACAGTATCAACTACTAACATTTTAATTCTATAACTAGAAGAAAATTATTCTTACAATAAAGTACATTTGATCTGCAGACTCTCTGTAATTGTAACATAAAGTCATTGCTATTTTCAACACTTTTTGAGAAATTAATGGCCTTAATGTGAGTAAATCAATGAAAAATAAAAAATAAATTCAAATCACTCTGCTTACAGAGAAAAAAAAAAGAGAAGCGCTGAGCACGTAAGATATTCTAAACATCTTGGATCATAACTCTACTACACTGAAGGAGAAGGATCAGCAATGTGACTCAGCAGACTCCTGAACCACCCTCCACCCGTGGAAATGGACAGCTACACACAGAACAATTCCCACTGAGAGAAATCCAGTACCTACCTCAGTGCCTCCTACACACACGGTGAGTGAGAAAATACATTGAGATGGGTAGGAAAGGCGTTAACCTCACCCCCAACACAGCACCATACAGACAGAAGGGAACACACAACTCCCAACTTTTCCCTGAGGAGTCAAGGGTTTTCACTGTACCTATAACACTCCAACTTCTAAGGCTCCCACTGAGGGACGGGCCCCCAAAATACCTAGCTCTGAAAGGTCATAAAACTTATATTCATGAATCTCACAGGACCGCAGCAATGAAAGCCGCAGCTCTAAGATGGGCACGTGAGCACGCACCATGGCTGCCCCCCAGGGCTCAGTGTAGAATGAGCAGGCAAGAACAGCCAGTCTTCCCAGGAGGAGATCTGACCGTATATTTTATAAGCAGCTGCCCAGTGGTCTGGCTTCTCGTAGCATGCACTGCGGGGCTGACTGTGATTCTCCCGGCAGCCCAAGGAGGCCAGCTGGCCATTTCTTCACTCCTTCGCTCCAGTCCCACTCCGCAGTAAAGCCAGGTCACCAGTAGCTCTCTGAAAGGAGCTGCTTTTATGGCTATGACTCAATCAACAGGTCCCAGATCACCAGGCACTGACAGGCAATGGCGCTTGCATTCACCAGTCCCACAGGATTGCAGTGGGTAAAGCAGTTGTTAATGGGTGCACACATAACCACTTGCTACAACAATCCCCCTAGGGTTCTTTACAGAAGAGCAAGCTAAAAACACTCATCTTCAATCTTTCCCTGGAAGGGATTTGATTGCACACTTTCCCAGCTCATGCCTTCTAGTCAGCCTGCATCCAGGTGATGACTGAGATCCTCCCCTTTAGGGCACTGACAGGTCTTGGCACATGCTCAACTACTGGGAACTACTAAGAACAAAACAGCAACTTGGACTATCACAGAGAGTTAAGAGGCAACCAGGAGCTTAGGCTGGGATGATTGATTAAGCTCATCTGCACAAGAGCAGTCTGACAAGACTAGGAGAGGTGGCTATTTTATCTGATGCACAGAAAACAAAACAGAGTCAAGGGAAATGAAGAAACACAATAATAACACCCCCCCCCCAAAAAAAAGATAAACCTCCAAAAACTAATCTTAATGAAGTGGAAATAGTGATTTATCTGAGAGAGAGTTCAAAATAACAAAGATGCTCAATGAGGTCAGGACAGTAATGCATGTACAAAGTTAGAATTAAAAAAAAAAAAAAAGAAAGAAAATGTTTAAAAGTACCAAAGAGAAATAACAGAGCTGAAGAATACAACTGAAATTTAAAATTCAAGAGTTCAACAGTAAACTAGATCAAGTGGAAGAAAGGATCTGCAAACTAGAAAACAGGAGTGTGGAACTTATCTCATCAGAGGGCCAAAAGGAAAAAGGGCTGTCCCTGAACACTGCTGTTGTAAAGAAGTTCTATTACAAGTCTCTAGGCTGCAGGCAATGTTACCTCAACTACTATAAACTGTTCTTACAGAAAGTCTAGAAATTTACTAGCAACCTCAAGGAATTGTTTACAGCACCAAGATGTTATCTTTTGCCTATAGCTTCATTTGCCCAGACCAACTGTAATTTCTTTTTCACATATGTACATACAACCTACTCTCTATACATGGAAATCCATTTACAAACACACATGAAAGTCGACTTTTACTGAGAATTTAATATGTTCAGACACTGTTGTAGAAGCCTCACCATACACTATCTAATTCAGCCATGGCAACAAGCCAATGAGTTTGGGGACTACCATGTCTCATTTTTGAAATGAAACTGTGGCATCAGAACAAAAATAACTTGCCCAGAAGATCTTATAGGCAGGAAGCAACTGCGCCAGGACTTGGCACTTAGTCTTAACGACTATTACACTAGAAATGTTTTCCAATAAAATACAATGTCTCACCATGTGAAGCAACTGCTTCAATTTGTTTCATGAAAAAATATAACAATATACACAATATGTACTTACATATCCTGGTGACATAAGAGCATAGTGAGAAGTTATGAAAGCTTTATGTTTTGGCAAAATGAGTCTGCCTTGCAAAATGTAAAATACCCTCCAATGTTATTGATAAAATTTGTTTTTAAAGCCAAGAGGGTTAAGAAAATGAAGCTCCTTATCTAGAAAACATATATACACATATGTATAAATGTATATATACACATTTGAATGAATATATGTATCTATATATATTTTCATAAATAAATATACGAATATATGTGTGTATATACATGTGAATAAAGCTACTTAGCCAGAAAACATTTTTCCCTTCCTTATATACAGGAGAGTTACAAAGTGATATCTAGGATGTGTCACTCCTTAAAGTCTCAGAATAAACCCTTCATTCATTCAAGCATTTTTTGAGTGCCTGCTATATGCCAAGCCCTTTGCTAGATCCTGGTGAGCAGAACAGACACCACCAACTCCATCAGGAAGCCAACCCTTCATTCATATCGGTCAGCGACCACACCAAGTGCAGCACACGGGAGTCGGGCGTTGCTAAGTGATGAACTAGGCTTGTGACTTCTTTAATCCAAGGTGTTAAGAAATAAGGAACACCCTTAAGGGCCCAGGAAAATTTAAGTACAACCCTGATAAAGATAAGATATGGAGATTTTCTCTAGTTGTGGCTTATGGCCTTATGATTCACCTCTAAAAAATCATATCCCTTTTAAATAGAGTAGTGGCTTCCCATAGCTCAGCTGGTAAAGAATCCACTACAATGCAGGAGCCCCCGATTTGATTCCTGGGTCGGGAAGATCCACTGGAGAAAGGATAGGCTACCCACTCCAGTGTTCCTGGGCTTCCCTGGTGACTGAGCTGGTAAAGAATTGCCTGCAATGCAGGAGACCTGGGTTCAATCCCTGCGTTGGGAATATTCCCTGGAGAAGGAAATTGCTCCCCATTCCTGTATAGTCCATGGAGTCACAAAGAGTTGGACACGACTGAGTGACTTTCACTTTCACTTTACCTAGAGTAGTGCATTTAATCTATTCATGACTGAATTTAAACCAACCTATAACCTGTAACCATCTGGAAGCAGAATTTCTTAAAAACAGCATTATCCAACCACAAAGCTAAAGGCATGGGAAGAACACAGAAAAAACATCAGGAGCATGGGTTTTATTGAATAAAATACAGAGTGATATTTCTATCTCCAATAAAATGTCATCTGTAATCACCATAAGTACCAACTACTGAACAGTGTAGTCTCATGCATGGTATAGGCTTATAATACAGCTATATCTCTGTTCACATAGACTCCTAATGGTTTTAAGAGTCTATTTAATGATATTAAGACTCTATGTAGCCTCTCAGTAAAGAAGGGGTGTCCAGAAGTAATTCCAAAAGTTAATATAAATATAGTAAATATGAATGTTCTCAGTGACACTGACATTTTTGAAGATGTCAATGCATTAGCTAATTTCCTGCATGGCCACATTTCTGTGTTCCTCAAGCAGGCTGCATGTTCTTCCTTGCTCAGTGATTCCCCCTGTTTGAAAAACGGCACCAATATCCTCTTGTTACAGCAAGAAAACATGCCAAGGGAAGTGGAAGCATGGCCCAAACCTGCCACAAAGAAACAGTCTTCCCCTCCTTGAGGCAAAGTTCTTCACCTCCTGGAATACAGTGGCCTCAACCAGCTCAGAGATGAGTGGCTCAGGACATCAGAGACCCCAGCTTGACCAGGGGAAGACTTGGATCAAAAGGAGACAGGAAAACCCATCCAGATAAACAGATAACAAATCGCAGAGCACATTCTGAACTTCACATAGAGAGGAGACACCTGAATTTTCTGGTAAGGGCTCACCTTCAAGTGAAGAATTCCCCAAGACGGTCCACCCCAGCGGCAACTCCAGATGAGTCAGGGCCAGCACGAGCTCCTCGTCCAGAGCAGGCAATGCCCCCGCCGTCAGGGCAAACGGGGTCAGCAAGGTGTGGTGGCTACTGGCGGTGAGGCGATCAGCCTGGGTGACTAGCAGGCGGGCCAGCCTGCAGGCCATATTGTCCACATAGGTCACGGAGTCAGAGCCCATGGTCACCGGGGAGTAACCTTCCGAGCAGAGGCATACAGACACGGTCACCGTCTCCTGCAGCCCATGGCCTGGAAGACGAGACAGTGAACAGCTCACCCAGAGGCCACCGAAGATGCACTCCCAGTGTCCAAAGCAAGAGGCTGAGCATACACACCACACGCTCAGAAGCGTAAGGCAGACAGGAAATGCGGCCAAACAGCTTTAAACGCTGCCAAGCCAGTGGGTCCAAATGAACACTGACCCCGTCTTCTTCCAGGGACTCCAACTTCAAGCTAACTTTTATGAGCTCTGACCATTTTAGTGCCTGTTCTCTTGTCATTACTTCCCTGGTAGCTCAGTCGGTAAAGAATCTGCTTGCAGTGCGGGAGACCCGGGTTCGATCCCTGGTTGGGGAAGATCCCCTGGAGAAAGAAATGGCAAACCATTCCAGAATCCTTGCCTGGAAAATCCCATAGACAAAGGAGCCTGGTGAGCTGCAGTTCATGGGGCTGCAAAGAGTCAGGCACGACTGAGCGTCTAATACTAACACTCCTATCACTGCTATTTGGCACAACTTTACCATGTACTTCTACTCAACCGTCAAATTCAAGTTTGTTGTCTTAAAGACCTTTGTCCTTTTCTGTTCTGGCATTTCCTTCTGAGTCACATGTTTTTATATATTTATTTAGGTGATCATTTTATAAGGCAGCACCATAAAGTTACACAAGTTTATCCTAATTCCTCAGTGCCCTTTTGAACGGTGAGTAGGGTGGGTAAACACTAATCCACAGAAACATTATAAATAATGTTCACTGCCCCACAGCCACCTGTGAGAAGAGCCTCTCTGTTCTGCAGGTGTTCTTAATGTTTCTGCTACTGGGTGGTCACCTAACCCTGCTACTTCCCCCTCCTCCTTACACTCTTCCTTCATCTTACCAAGGTTATGAACTTCTCCCCAGTATGTTTTTATGTTGTCCTTGGCACAATTTCCAGGAATTACTGCCATCTAACTTCTGTGACTATGATAGTCACAGCTGGACAGAAGAAGGGTTAACATTCAGCCACCACTGACCCCCAAGCAAATGACGAATGGGTGCAGATCATCCTTGTTCTACCTTATTCTCCAAAGCCTTTCCCCAGGAGCTATGATGCCAGGCTTCAAGGAACAAGAGCATCCTGGGTGTACCAGGCAGGAACTACTGCCATTTTCTCACTATTGTCTCTTTAAAGTGATCCCATGGTGCAAACACAGAATGCAGCTCCTACCACCAGACTAAATGTGTCTAGTATATACTATAGAAATCTGTTGTACATACTTCAGAAAGGTACCCTTGCAAAGCTATATCCAGGAAAATTTAAGATTCAGAAACAGAAACTGTCCTTTGCCTGCAAGCAATTTGTTAAACTCAAGGTATGAACGCTCCCTTCTAAGCAGGCCACAATATACTCAAAAAAAATGTTCTTTAACACACAAGGAATGGGGAGAATGTTCACCCCTACATGCAAGTTTAAGAAAAAAATTAAAATGTTGATGTTAGGAGTAGCACTTCTGTTATTATTTTTATTCTTTCTCTACATAAGAAGCTTGATTAAAAAGGAGAAAAACTAAGAAAAGAGGGCCAAGCCAAATGCAGCAAAAACATCAACACAAGTGCCAAGGCAAAAGAGGAGAGGCAAAAGAGACTGACAGTCAGTATAATTCTGTGCCATTAATGTGGTTTGACTTTCTTTTTTTTTCCTTATGAGGATGGGAGTTGCTGGGCTCAAGATAGGAGAGCTTAAAATTGCCCAAAGTCCCAGAAGCTGCATAGTAGATTGATTCGGTGATCAAACCCAATGAGGTCTGCAAGGTGTTTGTATCTGTGTTTGCAAGTTTACTTCCTTCTTCCCACATGCAACAGATATCCTACAGAAGGCACTTAAAACATTTTATTAAAAAAAAGAATGAAGCCAGTCTTACCTATTAAAAAAATTGAAGAGTCCCTAGATGATATAATTTAAAGGGGTCTTAAAGACCCACAGTTGAAATCAACCAATCAACAAACAAGACAAACAACAAAAACTCTCCTTTCCTGCAGGTAAATGATGCCTTAATTGCACCTTTAGATTAGCGCTTGCTGTCAGATGCACAACACACACCTACTGAAAATACAAAAGAACTGTCCCTAAGGAGGGCTGTTAGCTCGTAGCTTGTCATCTGTCACTGTGCTACTTGAAGACATTTGGGAGAACTACAGGTTTCAGAATGTGAATGGCGGTGGGATGAGAAAGTTCTGGAGCCTGAGATCCAACAAGGAAACATCTGAATGGACAGGATGCCGAGTGAGGAGCCCCAGCCACCCCAGGGAGCAAAGCAGAGAGAGGCTGCTGGACCAACCACAGGAGAACGAGGAAGACGGAATTATGATGGTGTCAGGCGTCTCAGGTCTCCCCGAGCTGTCCCTGGCCACGGGTGTCAGGACGACAAGAGGCAATATTAACAGACTGCATCCAGACCCCCCTCCCCAGTCTGGAGGGCAAGTCTAAGACGTGGCTGCTTGGGGAGCTGCACACATACCTGGAAGAGCCTCAGACATGAGATAACCCAGTGTGAGTACACAAAGACACACACACACACAGACACACACACACTGACACACACACACAGAGACACAGACACACACACACACACAGATACACACACACAGACACACACACTGGCACAGACACAGACACACAAACACACACAGACAGACACACACACAGACACACACACAGACACAGACACACAAACACACACACAGATACACACACAGACACACACACTGGCACACACAGACACACACACAGACACAGACACACACACAGATACACACAGAGACACACACACAGACACACACATAGACACACACTGGCACACACACACAGACACACACACACACACAGACACACACACACACACACACACACTGGGGCACACACACACACACACAGAGAGACACACAGATACACACACACAGACACAGACACGCGCAGACACACACACACACACAGACACACAGAGACACACACACTGGCACACACACAGACACACACATAGACACACACACACAGACACAGACACACACACAGACACAGACACACACACAGACACACAGAGACACACACACAGACATAGACACACACAGACACACACATAGACACACACACACAGACACACACACACACACAGACACAGATACACACACAGACACAGACACACAGACACAGACACACACACACACAGACACACACACACATAGACACAGACACATACACACACACACACACACATGCGCCTCACCTGGAACGCTGGACTGGAGAACATTATCCTCTGTGCGCTCTGCAATCACGATGTGTCTCTGATGAGATCCATTATAAATAAAGTAAAACTCAGCATCTTTAGGAAGATAAACATTTTTGCCAAACTTCGCGCAGACTGTCATCTGCCCCTGAAAAATGAACAAGTCACGGCATCATCACATTTCCTTGTCCTGGCTCTAAGAAACCACAATAACAAGGGCCCCGGGCCAAAACAGGGTCCTTTGTTATGTTCACTTCACCAGGGCGAGCCCAAATATCATGAATCCTTCCTCCCAACAACAGCATTTTGGACCTCAGGGAGATGCTTTCTGATCTATTTATGTATGCGTGTCAGAGCTGGTTTGTTCTGCTTTCAAAAGTGAAAAAGTTAAGGCACAGAAAAGAATATTTTTATTGATTAGATGATACTTTGTTGTTCTTTACTTTCTTTGAACTCCTACCTGAAGAACGTACTGCTTGTATTTATGTTTTCCTGCACCTGCGATACCACCATAGTATAAAACTTCAAAACAGTTATTCTTAGCTGGGGCCTATATACTAGACCAAAGCAGCTTACGAGAACTTTGAGTTTCCTCAAGCACTGCCAAATAAATAGCCCTATGGGATCCAACAGTTGGCATGCCCTTTCTCACCACTGTTGGTCTCCTCTGAGGGATTTCCAGGTCCACTTTCTCACCCAGCCTGGCCTCACACCTTCTATAGAAAAGCTTCGGGCTGACACCAATCCCCGCTAAATACCCAGGGTCCAAGGAGGGGATCTGCCACCCTGGGTCACTGAGGCAGGGTCTGAGGGAGGGAGGGAGGGAGGGAGGGCAGAAGTCATGTCAGAAGCAGGCAGCAGGCTAGCACTCCCCCGTATATCGTATATCAGCATCCAGGGGTGGTGTGGGGCGGTCAACCAGTGCGACAGCCCGAACACCAGGGGTGGATGAGCCTGCCGGACTGCCAAGGATTCAGGACACTCCCTCTCCTCAAATACAAAAAGGCAGTACAAAGGGGGCCTCCAGGGAGCAGGTACACACCACCCTGCTTGCGGGAGTGCCTGGGAAATAGAAACCAAGAGGTAGAGAGCTCCAGGGCTCAGTCCAGCGTGGAGAAGGATGTGGGGTTTTGTGCACCTGCCCAACAAAAACAAAACAACGCTTCCAGAGTTCCTCATCCTGTGACAGGAGAAAAAGTGAAGACGAAAGGCCCCCCCAGTCTCCCTCACATCTGTTAGCCTCTGATGCATATCAGTCAGCATGATATTCCATAGGATATAAAGAGGCAGACCAGTCAGGACCAAAAACAAAATCAGCCTGGACTTCATCTTTCCAGTAACTACATGGTTATTCTGGCTAAAATTTTTAAGTAAACAGACTATGTCTTCCCAGTGGTTTGCAATGCACCATACACACAAAACATCATCTTGAATCATAAATAAGAATAAACACAAACTGCGGCGTTAAGGGGAAAAAACCACCAGTTCCCTATTTTGAATTATCCTTAATCTGCCTGTGAGCAGGCTCGTGAGCAGCATGTAAGCACATGCACACATGCACACGCACATATATATACACACAATCAATCGAAAATAACATGCCAAGGAAAATCTACCATGCAATAGTTTCAAAAAAAAAAATTCAGGAAGGGGATCTGAAAAGCAAAAACCAATAACAACTGTCTGACAAGACAGACAGAGGAAACTTAGATGAAATTTCATTTTCTAAAAAAGGAAGACCAGTTTGCTTTAGTCATGTTCCTGGTTTCTAAAGAGACTGCTAATTACCCACAGACAAAATCTAAACTGACACGTTGGTGATATTTTTTTTTTAATGTTGGAAAACAAACTGTACCAACAGGTCAAAGGTTTTCACAGATCAAAAGCATATCTAATCTATATCTGTTCAAAACAACGATCAGATTACATTTTATTTGGTTTGGTGAACCAGGACTATGCCTAACAAAAGAGTTTAACTGCAACCCTTTTCAATGCAATACAGCCCCAAACAGTAGAGTTTTACAATTCAATTATGCCTCCCTTTCAAGACCACAGCATGCTTTACATTGGTCAAAGAAGATAAGAAACAGGTGAGAAATAAGATGCAGACATTAAGATGTCCAGAATCCTAGCATTAAGAATAACATTCAACAAGAAAGAGAGTCTCTTATTTGCTAATCACAAAGAAATCAGAAAGATGTCGTGAAGAATACTAGGGGAGGAGGAGGGAGGAAGTGATAACAGAAACCATCAAAGAGACCCAGTGAGACAGAAGGGGGTGGCAGGAGAGGAAGACAGGGAAAGAAAATAGGAAAGGATGAAAACATTTCACCCAGAAAAGTTAAATAGAGTTCAAAAGAGATCTAGATAAAGCTACAAAGGAGAAGCAGGAGGAAAGAGACTCTGAAAATGTGCTGCGGAACAAGTAAGCCCAACCAATCAGCCACAGGTGGCAGTCTATGCCTGACAGTACGGACTTCCTAACCACTGTGGCCATTCAAAATCTGCTTTTCCCAAAGGCCATTTTATTAATGGCAAACATAAATTCCAATGTACAGATTTCCAGTGTGTCTCCATCACTTCCCCACCTGGACTCAACTGCATACTTTGTTTTAGGCAATTGAAAACTAGAAACTTTTGTAAGTGAAGGCTGGCATCAGTATCAGAATCATTCTGCTTCTACACAGAAAAAAGACAAATGTTATCACCTGTTAATTCACTCTATCCCAAATAAAATTTTAAAAACTCAGCTATTTCGCTGAAACTTCTGGAAACACCAGGAGGCTTAAGAGGCAAAATTATTTTCCCAAATTAATCTATAGATTTAATACACTCCAATTAAAACCAAAACTAAATTTGTCAAATGAAAATCAACAAACTTACTCCAAAGTTCATGTGGAAGGATAAATACACAAGACTGGAAACAAAAGTTTTGGGAAAGAGAATAAGGTTTGAGCTGGGGTGGGGGGATCAGAACTTGCCCCTGCCATGGAAATTATGTAACAATGAAGGAAGGTGGCATTTCAAATCAGTGGGGAAAGAATGCACTACTCAGTAAACCATTTTGGAACAGTAACTATCTATTAGGGGCAAAAACATTCTTCACATCAAATAGTTAAATTCCCAATTAATTCAGTGTTCAACATAATCCACAAGTGCATAAAATTTAAAAACTGTCTCAAACTTTTCATTTTTGAACAAAATAACAAAGATATATAAATTTCATCTATACTACCACCACCCTAATTTATCAAACTTTAAAAATTTTTCCTATTTCCATCCAATCTTTGTTCAATGCACAGCTAATTATTACATAGCTATACTCATGGCATAAATACACATATGGTTGTACTTTTCTCCTATCCAAAGTATTTTTCTATGTTGTTACAATTTTGGCACCATTTTTAATTGCATTCCATCAAGTTGTCTGATGTTCCCTAATTTACTTAACCATTCCTCTATTGTACATTATGGGTATTTCCAGCTTGTTAACATTATTAAAAAATACTACATTAAGTATTTTCATGCCTATTGTTTTTATTTCTTTAAATTACTTTTTTAGAGTAGAATTCCAGAAATGAGGCCAAGAATGGACACAATTGTCACAATGTGTGTGACCGCTCTCCAAAAATGTATCAACTTTTAAATCAGTACATGTATATGCATGGCTGAGTCCCTTCCCTGTTCACCTAAAACTATCACAACATTAATCAGCTATACCCCAATACAAAATAAAAGTTAAAAAATATACCAATTCTCGTCATCACCTGTACTAGTCAAGAATACTATTTTTATTCCAACTTTGCCAAAACTTCCTTTTTCATTATTCCCTAAGTTACCAGATAAACAGCTTCTCGCTGATTTAATTCTTATTTTTTCCACTGCTGCTGCAATTTATTGGCCACTTTTATCAAAGCCAATATTGATAGTTGCCTGATTAAATCTTGATTTAAAGAATCTTAGTCTTCTCTCTTCTATGTATCTAAGTTCACCTTTGCCTTGAAAGAAAGTGATACTGCTCAGTCATGTCCAACTCTCTGCGACCCCATGGAATGTAGCCTGCCAAGCTCTCTGTCCATGGAATTCTCCAGGCAAGAATACTGGCGTGGGTAGCCATTCAGATCTCCAGGGGATCTTCCGAACCCAATGAACAAACCCAGGTCTCCCACATTGAAGGCAGATTCTTTACCCTCTGAGCCACCAGGGAAGCCCAAGAAAACTGGAGGGGGTAGCCTGTCCCTTCTCCAGGAGACCTTCCTGACCCAGGGATCAAACTGGGGTCTCCTGCATTGCAGGCAGATTCTTTACCAGCTGAGCTACCAGGGAAGCCCCTACCTTTGCCTTAGTCAGGTCAAAATCTTCACTTTTGCAAATGAAAAAGTTGAAAGCAACATCACAACCATCCCCTTTCTCCTATTACCTTCTCATGCCCAAACCAAAAGCACTAGAGTACTCCCATAAAACCACTAAAGGTCAGGTAATGTGGAAAACAGGAGTAATAAAAGTAAGGCAGAAAACCTTAACTAAGTCTAATCACACTAAATATCTCTCAGTATAAGCACAGACCCAAAAAATTAATTAAACCAACACTTTTTTTTTTTTTTTTTTAACCATCAAGCATCCCCCTGGAGAAATTCTACTTGGAAAACTCATCAATAATGCTCACGATCAAGTCTTCTGCTGAAATGCTATGACATCTATGCATTTCTTCTTGAAGGAACCAAAGAGGTAGTAAATGTATTTATTACCATCTTAAAGTATTTCTTCCAACTCTCTTAACTCATCTTCCAATGGCATTTAAGAAGAAAATGGACAGTGACATTGATGTGCATATTCTAAATATTTTTCATTAATCTATAATGGGCTCTAAGTCAAGTTCTCTAATACCCTGAATAACTTGGTGGCTATATTATCTTAATCTGAGAATTAGGTATTCCTGTATGAATGTTCTCCCTCCCTCTTTCCCTTTCCTCTCTCACCCTCTATAGACAACACACCTGTATATACTTTGTTAATAAGTGTCACCTGCTGGGCAACAACCTTAACTATCCACTTTCTGAACCACCTGGCCCGACAGAGAATAGACAAATGTATAGATTCAAATGATGACAAAGAGAATGAAGTGTGCAAGCATATACCTTTTTACAG